CCCCCCCAACCCCCCACCTGCCTGAAGTGGAAACCCGCTTCTGGCCTGGGCTTCCCTGGAGTTCCCCCTGAAGTGGCCCCTCTCCCTGGGGCGAGGGTGGCGGTGGGCGCTGTCTCCTGCCTCCCAGCATTCCCGTGGGCTGTCACAGCTGCTCCTGGCCTGGGCCTCCCTCCTGTCTATGGATGACACCTATGGGTGATCCTTCACCACAGGACTGGAGACTGGACACAGATAAGCCACGAGACAGATCTCGGAGGGCCCTTTCATCCTAAGCAAAGGCTCTGAAATTATCCAAGACACAAGGCAAATGTAAATATAAAAATAAATATAAAGGCCCCCCAAAAGCCGTACCCTTCCTCAGGGGCTGCAGCTTCCTGTGTTTACAAGTCACACGCATTTCCTCCAGGGCTGGTGGGACTCCCGCTTCCAGAGCCTCTGTCCTGTAAAGGAGCCGGCAGGCCCCGTAAACCAGCTCCCACCTGCGGCTCTGTCTGAATTTGGCTGGGGGCGTGGATTGTTTGGTATGCTGGGGGTACTCAGGGACTGCCTCACAGACTCACCAGCTCAGAAAGGCGAGGACAGGATTTTTCTGCTTCCTGTCGAAATCCCCAAGGCCTCGCTCAGGCCCAGCCACATGTAGGTGCTCCATAAATACGCACTGAGGAAGTGATCAGAGGTAGAGGACCATCGCGCCCGAGGCCAAGCTTTGGCTCTGACCATGCGGAAAGTATTCTTCTTGGGAAAGTCATTCGGCCTCTGAGAACTCGAACCGTGCGAGACTGTGAGGAGAAGGGCACGAAAACGTCCCAGATAAGCACGAGGTTTTCCTTCCTGCTGGCTGTGAGGACCTGTCCTCTCTCAGCCAATTGGGGTTCATCTCTTACCCACAGGTGCCCCTCTTTGCTCATCTGAAGACGTTCGAGGAGCACGGTGGCCCTGCCTGTCAGAGGCGATGTTTAGCAGAAGACTCCTTTCTTCTCCTTCTCTCTGAACACGCTCATTAACTCGTGTTTTGTAAATGTCCTATTAGTCCCTTTGATTTCAAGATTTCAGTGACATCCCTGCCTCCCTGGAGGTGTTTGACAGCATGAGTTACTTTAAATATAAACAGCCAAGTCAGTTTTGCTCTAGAGACCTCTATCCGTCTACCCCCCTCCTCCCCGCCCCTCGGCCCGCATGGACTTTGGGACAGACATCCTGGGCAATGGGAAGACACGGCTAGGAGCCGTCGGGCCTGCTCCATCCTTCCTCAGGCACAGCTGGAAGAAGAGAGAGCTCGTCAGCCTCCCGCGTTGTCTGAGGTCAGCCGAGGGCTGGGTAGATTTGCCAGTTGGTCTCACCACCAGGGAACATACAGCCGACAAATCTTACACGTAGGAATGAGTTTGCTTTGGTAAGGAAATCCAACCTGGGGAGGAGTTCCCAATCTGGGGAGGTCTCAGACACTGAGAGTATCAAGAAAGCATGAAAAAACAAGTCCACTGATTTCTTCAGAGGAGAAGTCATAGGTCCCTGTGGTTGAATGGCGGTCAAGGTGGTGAGAAGGAAGAAATTCCTGACGTAGAGAGGTTGCTCGCAAACTTCCTGTGGCTAAGACTCCCCAGGAGAAATGGGTAGCATGCAGATTTCAGCATCCCAACCCAACCCCCCGAATCCCAGTCTTTGGGCAGGGACTACGCCCGCGCACTGCGCCTGGCTCCTTCTCGCTCCCAGGGCTGCGTCTGGGACGTGGACCACGTGGTCAGATGTGGGATCCAGCTGCCTTAACCACACCCCATGGAGAGGGCCTGGGGTTCATTTTAACCGGCTCCTTGGGCATCCCTCAGGGAGGTGCTCAAGGTCTCGCACTTGGAGAAGCGTAGAGAGGCGTTTGGTATGGCAGAACCAGACTCCTGCCAACATCCCCATCTGAGGGCTAGGGCAGGGGAATGCAGAATCCAACCAACTCCCTTCACACAGCCCTGCCGAGCCAGGTCTTACCGCCAGATCGAGGCCACCACGGTGGAACTGTGGCGCGGGCCTGTCTCTCTCCTCCATGCCAGGGAAAATGATCTTTTTTCTCTTTGGTCATTCCTTTGCCTCCTGAGTGCCTCTCTTTCCTGAGTGCCTCTCTGTCCCTGAAGACATTCAGGATTCAGTACCGAACTTCTGGGTAGGTTCTTTTATCTCACAATGCAGCCCAAGCCCAGTTCCTACTGAGGGTAAGGGCTTGCCTTGGTACCCGTCCCAAGGTGACTGTGTTACAAGGAGACGGGACACTGCAGCCCAGAGGAATGCTTTGTTAATGGAGGAAACTGGGCAGCCGGGAGGGGAGGACGGCAAACCTGCCTCTTCCCATCCCCAGCCCACAATTCCCAAGCTAACTTCATCGCAGTTTCCCCGGGTCATTTCCTGCCTCCAAGAGGCCCATCCTGATTTTGCCCCACTCCAACCTAGGAGTGAAGCCGGGATCACTTTGTCAGTTCCCAGAAACTTCGAAGCACACACGCCGTGGTCTTCGCGGACTGAGGATTCGAGGCCTGTGGGAGGGGCAATACCACCTAGACTCCTGCAGGTCCCACAACTGCTCTGTCCTTCTGAACACAGGGCCCTTTGTCTGCAGTTCTGGAGAACCGGAGTCGTGGCCTCCTCATTCTGTTTTGATCCTTCTTCAGCCTCTTCCCAGCCCGCTGCTCCTCCCCTGCCCCTGACCTCTGGCATGAAACGAGCTCATGTCACCTTCTTAGACCCGCCTTCCTCCTTTCCTAGGCCGCCAAGCCTGACTGCACCCAACGCTTGCAGCTGCAGTGGAGCCTGGGCTGCCGGACGTTCCACTGGTTTCTGGCCAACGTCTACCCCGAACTGTACCCATCCGAACCCAGGCCCAGGTTCTCTGGAAAGGCAAGGCTCGGCCTAGAGAGGAGGGAGAGGAAGGGAGAGAGGGAGGCTTCCCGAGGACAGCATGTGCAGCTGTCGCATGACCTTGGCCAGCCAGTTACAAGCTCAGCTAGGCTTCGAAGCCTTGAGCCCTCCTCTGCCTCCGTGCCAGCTGGAGGAAGCCGGCTAGGCTGCCCCATAACCCACCCCAGTGTCCCTCTCCAGGCATGTGTGGCCTGCCTCCTTTGGGATATCTGTCCCTCAGGATGAGTGGCTTCAGCTTGACCCCACTTACGGCCTGAACCATGCATCTTGAGCTGCACGCAGAGTAAAGGAGAGACACAATGACCAACTGAGAGTGTGATCATGGATGTTGGGACTCACTTCTGTGTGATGTTCACGTTCAGCTCCACAATACCGGGCTTGGCCTCTGCGCAGACTGCCAGGCAGAAGGGGACATCCAGGCCTGCCCCGTGGTGCTGGCTCCTTGCAGCGACAGCCGGCAACAACAGGTAGGTGGTCAGATGTCTCAGAATGGGCTAACAGCACAGGAAGGCTTGCATGTGGAGACAGCTTTCTGGGAGGCCCTGCCTCCCCTTCGAAGAGTCTCCTCTGTGCAGTCCCCCATCCTGCGGTCGCTCACGTCCCCCACGGTCACAGCCCAGCACAGCCTGCCCACATCACCCAGCGTAACATAGCCATCAGCCACTGTCACGGAGTGAGAGCATCTTACTCAGAGGGAAACGGAGAGGTGTGTGGCCAGAGCTTTCATTGGACGGATAGAGGGAAACGGGGAGGTGTGTGGCCAGAGCTTTCATTGGACGGAGACGTGTCGCTCGTCCAGGGGTTGCAAACGCAGATGCCTCCAGGACCTAGGAAGGGATCAAGTCTCCAAGAAGAGAAGGTCACTGAGTCGGGGAAAGAGCTAGAGACGGCTGGCTGACTCCGCCTCCGTGTGGGCCCTTCGGTCATCACGAAGTTCTCTCTATATCTTAAGGGATTTCCTCGTTTCTTTAACTTTTGCACTGTGTCAGTCACTGTCCGAGTTGATCAAAGCCCCCATTGGTGCTGTAGGCTTGGCGGGCCGGTTTCTCTTCCCTACCTGGACCATAGCCTAGGAAGCCTAGCCTGTCCCCAGATCGCTCTCCTGGGCTGTGACAGGGGACTTTCAGTTAAGCTATCATGTTTCAGCGGCCTCTGATAACGCCAAACGTCCTAGTAGAATTTCCTGGAGATATTCATAGAATGAGTCTGGTGAGCCCAGGGAGGCTGGCAGCCGAGGCAAAGCATCTCTGGGAAGGTCGGGACTCAGTCCTGCAAGGACGGCTGGCTAGGTGGCCTTCTGGGGGAGACCCCGGGCTCCTGGGGCAGGCCCTGGGCCTGGAGGACTCATGGAGAAGGAGAAGCTTGTGATGCACTGGGCCTCGCCCAGCTCTGCCCTTCACGAATCTAGAACGTGCCAAGGTGCATTCACAGCTTACATAGGGGACGAGGACAGAAGCGTGAAGTGCTGAGTGAGGGAGCCACGCACAGAGTAAAGTGACCGGGCTGCGTCTGCGCCCGGGTCATCATTTACTACCCGTTCGACCTCAGCAGGCTGAGTCTTCGTTTCCTCGTCTGCACTCGGGGATGAGGTAGCCTCCGTCAAGCGCACAGAGGACTAGCAATCTTGTTCTTTTCTTTCCCCGAGGACATGACCAAGGACTTTTGAATGCAGTCATATTGTGGACTATGTGTATATAGACAGTCCTTTTCTAGAAACACCTGATAGGATATGCTGAATTTAAAAAAGGAAGAAGAAACGCCCTTTTCACACACAAGAAAATGAGTTTTAACACAGAAAGGGAAATCTTCGGGGGCCAAAAATCAAGAAGCAGCCGGAACCAGAGTCTAGGTCACAGGGCGGGGTACCCAGCCAGGGCGAGCCTCAGACATTTAGGGCAACGGCTCCGTGCAGAGACAGGCAGCAGCTTCAGCTCAGAGGGGTAAGTTGGAAATGAGACTCTCATATGCAGCCAGCGTTGACCTCCAAAGGGTAATCTGTCCTTGCAAAGTTGGGCGACAAATACCCACTGCCACCGAGAAATAGCAAGGAAGCTTGTCTGTTACTACAGGGACTTTGAGTAGGAAAACAATTACTCTCCCCTGAGATTTTTAACCACAAGCCTGCACACTCACTTGGGTTCAGGGTTCAAATTTGTACTAATTGTGCGGTTTGTGATCCCGAGACATGACAGGCTACCTGGTTTGCAGAACCTGGTACAAAATGAAAATGCGAAGCATCTAACCTAGTCATCACTAAGCATTGCAAGGCCCAGCCCGTGAAGTAACTGGTTCTGTGCTGAGCTGTGGAGCTGGGATCCACCTGCCAACCCTGGCCTGGGTCTCTGACTCGTGCCACGTGTGTGTGTGCCCAGAATCCTGGATCCCGGGCTGGAGGGCTCCCGGAAGGGGGTTGCGGGTGGCTGAGCTCTGGGTAGGGTGTTGACCCCGCTCCCTCTCTCTGTAGCACACACCCTCTCTTTGTGAAGATATCCAGTCCTATAAAACACCGGAGGAATAACCTTGAGTCAGACTCGGGAGGTACGACTCACCAGCCCACTGCAGGGAATTAGTCTCAGAGGCAGGTGCGATCTCTCCAGGGAGAGGTCAGCTGGGGCCTCAGCGAGAGCTCTCCTTTGCCCTTCCGATAGGACACTCACACAGCGTTCTTCATGGCCGCCCTGTGAGAGTAACAGAGAGCGTGCGTGTGAGCACGGCCGGCGTGCGCACACCTCAGAGCCCAGGGCGAGCCCAACAGCGCGTCTGTGGACTGACCCTGAGCTATGGCCTCGCACACCCCAGTGGAACCTGGACATCGACCCTAGGCCCCGCCGTGCTGAGAGCCGCTCCTGCCTCATCTCCAGCTTGGGAAGGGTCTCTTCCCAACTAACGCGCATTCCCTCTGCCCCAGCACCTGGAGCACACCGGCAGGAAGGAGATCCACTTCGGCAGCCCACGGCACCTGTGCTTCGATGTCAGGCGAGAGCAGGTGATCCTTCAGAACTGCACCGGGGAGGGCCCTGCCATCCGCCAGCAGCACTGGGACGTCCAGGAGGTGAGCAATCTGTCTGGGAAGGGCTCAGCAGTGCTGGCCGGAGAGCACTCTGCACCGAGACCCTTCTGGAGGTCGGGAGTCCCCACGCAAGCCTGCGTCTCCACGGCCGACGGGCCCTGTGGGACGTGGGTAGGAGGGGTCGATGGTGAGAGTTCAGCAGCCTTCCTCCACCTCAGGTCCTTCCCGACACGAGCTCGGGTAGTCATTACAAACGCATAGGCACATGTTTTAAAATCCAGTTTCTTCAACTTCTGCTGGAGAGTAACGAGTAAAACAAGCAGAAGTCTGTGAGGGGGCACACTTAAAGCTCTGACAGGAGAAAATCGCGACCTGCAAAACCAGAGCTGAGCTCCCTGAGAGCCGGGCATGACGTTGGACTTCCTGACGAGCGAGCGAGGACGCGGGCCCACCCTTCAGGAGCGAGCCCGAGGGTCGTTCTGAGCAAGTCCTGAGGGTAAGGTACCTGTTAACAGCAGCATTTGAAGAATAATTAAGAGAGAAGGTCCATCCGGCATATTTCAGGCATTTAGAAATAATACTCTCTGAAAGTATTCTCGCTCAGGTGAGAGCAGGTGGCATGGAGGTTACGGAAACTGGATCCCACGTGGCCAACTGCGTGGTTCCAGTCCCAGACCGGGTGGGTTGAAAATCACACCAGGCACGTGTGATTGCATCTTGGCCAGCCCCCAGGACGTGACTTCTCTCTACCCCACTTCTGGCGAGAGGATGCGCTCTATGACAAAAACTGAAGAAAGTGTTACCATTCAGCCAGGAAAAAGGGGTGGCGTGTTCTTCACCGTGCCATTGTTTCCGACAGCCTGGGGTGGGAGCGGCCCGCGTGTCTCCCGTGGGTGACGAGGTAGTAAACTGCAGCATATACATGCAGTGGGGTATTCGCCTTCAAAGGAAGGAGAGCCTGGCACGTCTGCAATGTGGGCGACCGTCAGTCCACTTTACGGATGAAATAAGTCAGTTAGAAAAAGGCAGAAACTCTACGATTATTCCTTTTCCCTAGGTTTTGGCTATAGGGTGTGTGCACTCACTGGAGAGAGAAGGCGGGAATGTAAGGCCCCCCTCCGCGGGGGTGGCCATGCCACAGTCCCCTCTCCTCCATTCTCCCCTTGGGATTTTGGACACACACGAGCACCTGGCATGTTTTTCAAGCCACTGGGTCTGGGACACGGCCTCTATTATTTTTTAGTTATGGGCACACATCTTAGAAATATCCCTCTTAGCTGTCTGTGGAGGGCTGTTTCTGACTCCCTTCTTCTTTTCAGAATGGAATGATTGCTCACATTCTCTCCGGGAAATGCATGGAGGCCATGACGCAGGAAAACAGTGGAGTTGTACTTGCACCGTGTGATGGGAGAGCCAGCCAGCTGTGGCGGTTCGACCACGCCCGCGCCGTGGACGAGCGCTGAGTGCCAGCCCTGGGGGAGGCCGGCCACCGGAGGTCACCCCGGAACTGAAAGAGCATGTTTCTCATGAGCAGAACCTTGGTGTCTGCACCTTGTAAAAGGAGAGAAGAGAGCCCCGTGAAAAAACATAGGAAATTGTGCGTGTCACTTACTTCACTGACTGCTGCCTGTTAACGAAAGAAGGAAAGAAATGGATCCATTAGGCCATCGTCCACGTCACCGGGAGACACCGCTACGTGGTGCCGAGAAGTCATTCCTTTCCACGGAGCTCTTGGCCGCTGCGTTTATCTCTGGCCGGGGAGAGGCCCGGCCGTGGCCTGCAGCACCTCCGGGGACACAAACCCAGCAGTCCCCTTACCTGTCCTCAGATGCCCCTAACATGGAGGTGCAGTCCCTTTACCTGTCCTCAGATGCCCCTAACATGGAGGGCCTGCGTGGCTAACTACGAAAATGGAAGAATGAAAGGTTTTAGTGGCATGACACTCCAGAAGGGTTAGGCTAGGCCCGTTAGCTCAGACTTCATGCTCAGAAGGAAGCCGGCCACAGAGAGAGCAGCCGAGTTGGAGAACGGGAAGAGCTCTGGTCCCATCCCTCAGCTCAGCTGCTACAGAGAGGCCGTAAACTTGGGGTGAGACGTTTCCACGTTAACGAGAATCTCCTTGGCACCTCCTACCTCCTCACCTGGCCGCAGACTTCCCTGACCTGGCTCACTGTAGCCACATTTCTGTGTAATGCCTCCTCGTCACCAGTGCCGGAGAGACCAGCACAGAATAAGCACCCTCGCTAACCCAGTGCTAACGCTTGAGACTCCCCTGACGCCGGGCTAGGGCTGCATGGTCTGCATCAGAAACAACTTTTGCAAAGAGGCAAACCCTCCTCAGGCGAATGCCAGCGTCTGAGCCAACATTCTTATGAAACAGAGGTGGGTCATTTCTGGGACCTTCGAAGGTGCCCACAGATGGCACGTTCACAAGTGCGGGCAGTCCACACCCCAGTGAGAGCAGGGCCGACCTTAGTAAAAGCTGTTGGTCTTCCCTCGCTGTGACCTGGTCACCCACGTGGGTCCCAGAGGTGCTGAGAGGGGTTGGTTCTAACAGGAAGACACTGTTCATGCCTGGTCCTCCCCCTTCCAGATGGAATTGTCTCTCCACGTGCTCCCGAGCTCAGAAATCTCTGTTGAAGATGCTGCCCTCCCCTGGGCTGTCTCACAACACGGTTTGCTCTGGGTAAGAACGAGGCAGTAGAGGCGGGCTCCGGGCATTCCTATCGTAGTGACGTGTTCCCCTCCACCTGCTTACCTACACAGCCTGCTGCGTCTCTCCTTAGGAGACTCTCGAGCGACGCGATTGAACGTGGCAGCCACCACTGAATGTGGTTGCCTTAATGTAAATTCATTCAAATCAAAGAAAACGTACGACAGCCCCTCAGCTGTCGCGGCCACATTTCAAACGCTCGGTAGACACGCATGCCCGGTGGATGCTGAAGTGGGCAGCATGAAGGACATGCCGTCACGGCAGTGTGTCAGAATGGATCGACAGAGTCGGCGTCCCCTCTAGGGAAGAGATTTAGACACTGTCTTCTTGCTTCAGACCCTTCCGTATTCCAAACAAATTCCCATAATACTGTGAGGCCGAGATGGAGCGAAAAGTTCTCAGATGGCAACCTTGTAGAGGGTATTAATGGTTGAACAGAAAAAAAACTAAACAAGACTTCTATTTTTTTAAGTGAGCTTTATTATTGGCATTGTGGATGCTTGTAGCTCCTAGGATAAATTAATATAATTAAATAAAAGGCTGAATTCAATTGTGTAAGTTGTGTTTGGCAGTAATTAACAAAAAGACCCAGATGGCTTATTACCTAATTGGTTGAACAAAGCAAGAATGTGGCGTGTCTTGCTTCCTTAACAGTCCCCATGATTTATTGCTTTATTACAGAAGTGGCTGTCAGCTCCGTCCCTGCCTGGTACTTACAGACCCTTAATTTAAACCACACAGATGCCTGCATTTAGCTCTGAGAGAACCTGCTCCTTCCAGTGCAGCCAAGTGCTCCCATTCCCTACTTCCCCT